TTCTTGTTAGATATTTTTATTTAAATTAAAAAAATTTAATTATTATTTATTTGTTATATAAAATAATCAACTTAATTTACATAAAATTGAGAAATTTAAACAACAATTTCATCAAATAACTTTATATAATAAATAAATGATAATTGAAATTTGTTCTATATGTAGTTCTTGTTATTAGATATTTTTATATAAATTAAAAAATTTTAATTATTATTAATTTATTATATAAAATAATCAAATTAATTTACATAAAATTAAGAAATTTAAACAACTAAAAAAGACTAGAGAGAATATAAAACATTTCATTTTTTTTCCATTACTTTGCTCCATTCTTCAAGAATAATAATGCAAAACTATTATTTATATGGAATGTTTCAACGGACATGGTTAATTATGGTCACACAAAATATTAATTAACCCCACACAAATTATAAATATATTTGATTTAAACTATCAAAATAGTTTATATCTACAACTATTAATTAAAAATTCAATTATAGAATAATTGATATTTATTATTTAATAATTTAAAATCAACTTATGTGTTAATATTTATAAGCACCTTAATTAATTATTAATTGATAAAGTTAATTAAATCAAATAAATTTACAATATATATATTTATGTGGCCATAAATTTTTTTTTTTTTTTTGAATAAAAGAACTCGAACTCAAAGTCAATAGAGAGAGGTTCAATCAGAAACAGAAGTGGAGGTGTCGGCATCGGTTGGGCCATTAAAAGATCAGTTTGGTTGAGGATGGTGGATAATGGTGGAAAGCGGGGTGGGGGGTCCCTTCCCTGGTATAGTAGTTGCCGGCGGCTTATTTGGTGTGTAACTTTATATTAATACGCCGCGTTAAGTTGGAAAACGCATAGCTTGTGTACAATGTGAATCATTGTTTGATTTGTTGTTGCATTATGTGCTATCTTACATTTCTTTGGTCCAATTCACAACCCCACATTATTGCCCCACCCATAATCATCATAATGTGTTTTTTAGATGGCTATCTCGAATGCGAAGGACAAGTTCTAATCCTTTTTCCACTTGTATGTATGAAAACATCTTTCCATAAAAGTACAAAAATAATTTATTGAATTTTTTTAATATGTGCTTTTAGAATATATGTTAAAAGTGTAGTAAACATATGTATTTTTTTTATTATAAATTTGTATTAAAAAATCAAAATTGATTTTTAATTTATTAATTGTCTAATTAAATTTATTTACATAACAACAACATTACTAAAATTAATGTCAATTTTGAAGTTTTTCTATATAAATTTATGATAAAAAAAACTTTCTTAACATTGTCCAAAAACCCTAATTAATTTTTATTTTGAGTGAATTCCAACTTTAACTTTTGATACCTTTACATGACCACTTGCATTAATGCCTTTTTTATATTGTATGTATGGAGGGGAGTCCCGCCAACATGCCTCTATTAATGGGTAAAACTCAATATTTAGCCCCTTGCTTTACAAAATTAATAGGTTTTAACCTCTCACCTTATAATATGACAATTTTAGCTCTTTATCTTACAAAATTGGTAAGTTTTAGCCACTCACTTTACAAAATTAATAGTTTTTAATCCCTTACCTTATATCATGATATTTTTAGTCCCTCATTGATGCGAATTAAAGAAAATAACCCTCACCTAACATCAAGTTATAACGTTTTATTAGTTCTATTAGTTGACTATTAACATCCGTTAGCATTCCGTTATAAAAAACATAAAATTTAAATTCAATTTTATTTGTTAGTTTCATTAATGGAATGCTAATGGATGTTAACAACCAACTAACAGAACTGACAATCAGTTAACAGAACTAATACAATATTATAATTTGATGTTAAATATTGGTTATTTTCTTCAATTCGTATAGATAAGGGGATAAAAGTGTCAGAATATAAGGTGAGAGACTAAAACCTACCAACTTTGTAAGATGAGAGGTTCAAACCTATCAATTTTGTAAGATGAGAGGTTCAAACCTATCAACTTTATAAGGTAAAGGGTTAAAAATGTTATATTATAAGGTTATGGGCTAAAACCTATTAATTTTGTAAAGTGAGGGGCTAAAGGTTGATTTTAGCCCTATTAATGGGGGAAACATGCACTTTCTATAATTGGGTTAGTTTTAGGATTAAGTGCGCATTAATATATATGTATATATATATGTAAATTTTATACGATTAAGGTGATTCAAGAATAGGTTTTATGTATCTCTTTTTAAATAATTTTAAGGGTACATTCACATCACTTTAGTACATTTAAAAAAATTATTTTCTTGAATATTGACCCTAAAATTTAAACTCAAAATATCTTTTTGTCTCAAAATA